AATAGATTCACTTCTTATTTCCAGTTAACAAAAGTTTATATAAAAAAAAATCCAATTTTCAAAATTTCTCCACAAAACTTGTTTTGTGATAGTATTTGGGCTTTTCAAACCGGTATGAAAAATCTGATTTGGTTGGGGAGCTTTTTAAATGGCTTTTTAAAATAGGGCGTTATATGGGGCTCTAAACAATTCTCAATAACATTTGTCGTTGGGCCAAAGCACGTCCGTGTAACAAATTTCATCCAAATATCTCAAAAATTGCGATCTGTAGCTTGAACACAAATTTACATGGACAGACGAAAAGATAGACAGCCGGACAGACGAGGGAGTCTCGCTATAATAAAAGACGGATGTATCTTAAAACCCTTTGGCGTGTTACATATGGCGGCACAACCTCAATATACCCTGTCACGCTAGTGCTGTACTTCAAATATGTATTACTCCTAGATTACTCCTCCTGGTGTTATGGCCGTCTATGGGCAAATGTCCATTTGAAATTTACACGCCTGGCAAGGGTCAAGTCAAAATCTATGAAAACCAAGATTTTCTTGATATGATTACTCACTGATCAGCACCTACGTTATTTAAGGAATAAAAAATTCCGCAATGAAATTCCGCATATCACTTCTAATAGACAATTTCGCTTAAGGCATACTTTCGGTAAGCGACAGACACATTTTCGTTTAATCGCAAACGCGTTTCAGTATTCTCCTAATTACATGTTTTCGTTCCATGTTCATAATGTTAATCAAATTCCCTTTACTTAATGCACTTTGGTAATATTTCCTTCAGCTGTCGACAAGATTTACAGCTTGCACTTAATGTATGACACTTAATAAATTTGACGAATGTGAGAGAAGAAAGTGGGTAGAAATTTCGCTACGAATAGTGCATAGGCTCTGTAGGAAACTTTTTCGCGTAAAATAAATGTAAAGAGTATAAGGAACAAATAAGGAAATTATATTCGGTTGTAACCGAATCTTTTATACCCATCACCGATGTCCCAAGAGGGACTAAAAATAGGGAAAGAGAACTATATTTTCATATTCTATTGAGTGGGCGTAGTTGATTTTTTCTATTCTCAGAATAAAAGTGAAAATTTTTATAACGTGTGTGCTATACTCTGTGAGTAGCAAGCAAAAAACACGGAAAACAAACGTGTTCACAGACGCACAGACGAGTGGGCATAGATGTGTGGCCGCTGTGGGCGTGTCCTTTGACCGGTTTAGGTCATTTTCATTATCTTTTTGAAATTTATAGGCGATATCTTAATTTTTGGGAAAGGGAGAATGTTTACCACAGATAGTGCATAGTTGGGCAGATGGACGGGCGAACACGTACGCGAACATGATTAGATTCACTCCGAATTTGAGACAGGCCAAAATTTTATATACTTTATTATGCTTTTGAAGCTCGCTCCCGTGTGTTATAAAGGTATTGAGTAGGTGTGATCAACTTTCCCCATATTTTTGTGGATTCATTTTTCGTAGTTTATGACTAATGAGCAGAAAACCAGTTTTTTATTCCTCTTAAAGAACTGAGGTTTTCTCACTTTACGTACTACCGTAGGGGTATTCTTCAACCGATTTGGCCCATTTTCAATACACATCAGCGTGCAGGAACTTTCAAAGAGGCAGACAGACTGACAGACTGAAATCTACTTGGATTTTGATGCTGATCAGAACTATGCATACTCTGTGGGGTTCCCTCTTTCTTCAGCGATATGTATGCAAATTGATGATATATTGATGATAATCATTGGAAATGAGATAAAAACTACGTAAATAAAAAGAAATTTATCCGGTTCTTACTAATAAGTACTCAGTCCTTAGCCCGTTACAAATATTCTGTGTTTGTTTTCAATTCTTGTGCTTCGGTTAGCTGAAGACTTTTACAGCGCTTTTGAAATTTTAAATTCTTTGTTTGAATGTGAGATCTTTCCAAAGGGCGCTTTGGTATGATCTTATGGCAGACTGAATCTTCATTTTCAGTAGCTATTCTAGAGGGTAAGCACAAATGTAAGAGAATCATGTGTTCTCGTATTCAATCTATGACAAAAAGACTGGGAATTATACATTTCGTTGTTGGCACTAAAATTACTCACGGACACTGCTTTGAAATCTAGTAGCATATCTAAAAACATCCATGTAATCATCAAATTTTTTGACTTTGTTGACTTAGATAATAGATAAAGGAATTGAGAGAAAAGAGAGAAAAAAACTCAATCACATAGGGGATGTCTCCTATTCGTGACGGCGGCGGTCAGGAAGAAGTGGGGGATGAGAACGGGATAGGAAAGGGGTGGTCATAGCTTAGTGAGCGTGTGCCCAACCTGTGTCAGTGTTCAGACGCGATTGCCGACTGACCACTCATCGCAGCTGTGGCCTAAGTAAACTTTACCGCACTTGAGATTTGAACCCGCAAATAATAACTTCGTCGTAAGCCACTCGCCCCACACATTGTTTAACATACGCCTTCGGAGCCTTGATGTGCTTTGATGGAACAGATATATATATAAATATAACTGTATACTACTTATCTCTCCGTTTTTTCAGCTTTCACTTCAGTTTTGTACGGGTAATTAAAAAAAAAGAATAGGAAAAAAGTATCTCCAGATGATATGAACTTATAGTTTATGTGGAGAACTTTTCATTAGGATTTACGCCTCATAGGTCGTCGAGTATTTTTGCACTTTATACTCGTTGCCAAATTCCAACTCTTTTCGTATATGCATCAAGTATATAAAAATACTTAACGAAATTAGGAAAAAAAAAAAAAAAAGGAAAATATAATTTTTTTTTTCTCAAATAAACCGGGAAAACAATAGAATTGGTATAATTCCATCCATTTCCCCTTTTCAAATTCTTTTGCGTTTTAAGCTTTTGATATAATTTTCCTTTTCTTTTTTTTTTCAGCTGCTTTTTATGTACATTTTCTAAATCTCTTTTCGACTAAAATATACTCTGGCTGGGATATTCATTTTATTACCAACAGTATTAAACTGTTGGTACAGCTACTGTTGCGACGACTATCAAGTGGAAAATTAGTGTAAAATGAATATTTATGGTTGCTGCGGCAAAAGGATTAAGGGCAACACAAAAAAGTAAGTGAAAAACGAGTGAAAAATACCCTGAAAATATATATGTGAACAAAATAAAAGGAAAAAAAATATATTCTGTACATAAAATTCGCAAGTTTATTACGACCGGCAAATAAACACAACGGATTTAAATAAGAAATGAAATAAAAAAAAGTTTTAATTTTATTAAATTTAATTAATTCCATTTACGTGTAGTAAAATATATATATAACTATATATAAAATATATTTTCGCTTTTATTTTCATTCGTTTTTTTTTTTTTTCATTTCCTTAAAATATTTTATTAATTTAAAAATGTTGAATTTTATTTAAAATTTTAATAAATTGGCTTAACATTTTTTTTTTTTTATACGCAATGAATTCGTTTGCATTTTAAATTTTAGACAACATACATGACTGGATGATTAAATAAAAAAAGTTTTTTAAAAAAATTTTATTGGACCGAAGTGTTAATTAACTTTATTAGCAACGATTAACTGGCAATTTCATACTTGAAAGTTTAATTTCTATTCTTTTTACAATGCAATGGGAACGCATTAAAAACCAAAAAAATTCTTCTTCTTTTTTTTTTTATGAAGTTCACGGAAGTTATTAAAATATTTATATTGAATTTCGCTTTAGACTAGATTATGAATTCAAGGTTGTGAACTTAAGTCCGTTTTCTGTACATTCGTAGAGCATGTACCATTCGCGGTGCAAAGCTATATTAACCTTGTGCGAATTTATGCTCAACATCCAGAAGAACTTGAGATACACCTATCCTTTATTACATCGATTGATTCAGAATCATTTTTAAAAACATTTTCCGAATCCATCTCAACTTGGCTGTCCTTCTGTCCGCCTGCCTGACTTGTTTCTCTACGTTCAACTTGCAGGCCGCAATTTTTGAGATATTTTCATAAAACTTGGTGCACCCACGTGTTTTGGCCCAAGTGCAAAAAGTACTGAAAATGGTTCGGATCGGGTCACTTTTTTGACCCCTGCCTATATAATAGCTCGCTTTGAAAAGTTCATATGTTTAATTATTTGATGATGTATGGATGATGTACGGTATGGAAGGCAGCGCCCCGCGTAGAAATATTAGACTGAGACCCACCGCGCTATGTGTACGAAAACTAAATGATAGAATTCTCTTAGTTCAAAAGTGTGATTATCTTCCTTTAAAGTTCGCTATGGGGTCGACGTAGGTTTTTTTACTGTGTGAAGATAAACCTGTTGAAGTGTTAGGCGGAGCTAAACACCTATTTACCTATGCCATATTTTCTTCGCATTCGCAAAGGCGTCTAGGTATAAGAAAATTCAGATGGATAAGTCATTAGAATAATCAAAACGAATCGATCAGAAGAAATCCTTTCAGTAGGTTTTGTTACGTTGTTTATTTTTCGTAGATAATAGGAGTGTTTCTCTATTACGCTTCGATGTACAACAAAGCAGAGGTCTTTTTTTTTTAACAGAAAGCATAGCTGTTGTGTTACAGCTATGAAATACACATTTTTTTCTCTCTCACTCACATATTTATATATTTTTCAAAGAATGGTGATTACCACGTCATTGTTTACGGGTTCAAATCTCAAATGTAAAATTTTTTTGGGTCGAAGCTATAGTGAATACTCAGTCGGTGAAGACGTCTGTCTCCCTTCCTCATTTTTTTCTGACCTCCTTGTCGCTTTCTCTCTTTCCTCATTTCTTTTTGACAAAGAGCCCAAGGAGCGCTTACGAGAATCACGGGAATATATAAATGTTACCACCTTTGTTTATAGTTTAACAATATTTATATATATAAATAACAAAACTGTTCAAAGTTCGAGTGAGCCCCAAAGGCTCATCTTGATCCACTTATGGTTAAGTTTGTCAAACAATTTTTTTTTTTTTTTCATAAAACTAAATAAATTTCACTTACCAGCAGTACACTTTCCCAGGCCATCCAGCGTATAGGCATAGGCTGTGATTGGCGCCCGGTAGTGCCTTCCAATTGACAATAATCTGTAGCATAGGCCAAACGATTTATCACAGTGCCTATGGTGCAGACTTTAACACTAAGCTCCGGACCAATTATGCAGCTTCTGCAATAAATTGAAATACAATTGAAAAAAAAGGAAATTAATTAAAAATATTTTACTTTATTTGTAGTTTCTGAATATTTGTATAACTTTCGAAAGCATGACACCACGCAACCACAAAAATAGAAAAGGAAGAGATAGCGCCCTTAATGTAAAACTTGAAATCATCATCATTATGATTATTATTTTAAGTTTTCGTCTACTTATGAATGTTGATAATGTTTTTATTTATTTATCTCTGTGCGCTCAGTGGTTTGGTAAATGCGTTCTTCAAATATACAACCGTTAAGTAACAAGAATGTAAGGAGGAGAGTAGCCAAAGGGTCCTTCTTGTTTGTGGTATGGTTGCGTTTCTGGTTGTCACAAAATGTCAGAGCACAAAATTGCGTGTTGTTAGAAAAATACCTTAAGGGCATCATAATACACCACCAGAAAGAAACATAATTTATACAAAAAAAAAAAAGAAAAAAGAATCTATTCGATTGTCGCTTATCTACCCGCCCTTTGTTGTGGAAGTTATGACTGCGTTGATGTTTAATATTCGATACAATTCAACAGGAATCTATAAAGTAGTAAAAATAAAAGCAAATAGAGTCATGACAAGTGGTCAGAGAGGCAGCTTTTATATATATTTTTTCTATTTTTGTACAGAAGGGTGAAAACGTACTCGCACACTGTTGAGGGATGAGAGTGTTTTAGATTTGTTGTTCTGCAAGCGATATCCGAAAATAGCCAATAAAGGTCCTACATACATTTATAATACTTGATCAACATAATGTTCGGAATTGGTTTAACCCCTTTCCTTCCGTTTCTCACTTTGCTATCTATCTCTGGGCGTATTATTGAAACTCTCTATTTTGCTAGAAATGTATGTAAAAAGTTAAGACTTGTGGAAAAAGTAAAAGCTGCGACCATGATCTGCCTACAATCCTTCATACAAGCATCTAAACTCATTTCTTTTCCATTTATAATCCGTGAAAGTTATTCCCGAGCTTTCCGTCAAAACATGTGCGAAGATTTGTTAAAATTTCAGCAAAAAGTGATCGCGATACATCCATAAACTCATCACAAAAATACAAAGAATCTTATACATCGGTGATACTTAAGTTGATATAAATGTGTGCCAGGATCACATGGAAGATCGACGCAAAAATCGTCCGGTCCGGGTCATGACATGCCCACATTTAATGAAATATTTAAAAATTTCCTTGTACCTATTTGAAGCAGGCATGGTAAATCCTTGGACGGCGGGCCTGATCGCGCCGATTGCGGACCACTACATTCAAAGTTTCAAACACTTTAATTTGTTCGCATACAACAGTGCTGCACATGGATAGTGTCTGCCTTTTGTACCTGTTCAGCTGCGTAGCGTATACAACGCGTTTAAGTGTTTTTTTTTTGTTCATTAGGTCATAAAGTTGGCCATTTAAAAAAAATGGAAAAGTCATACAGAATACGGAAAAGTCGAAACTTCTTTCGCCGTGATATGAAAATTAAGATTGGCCCCGATGATGGAAAAAATTTCCCATCTCTGGTTTAGGCTGATGAATATAAAAGTTTCATTTTAGGATGTATATAAGTTTCTTATTTGTTTTCTGCTCAAGTGAATAGAGAGGGAAGGAAAACACCGAAAGAGCAAAAATTCTTGAATATATTTTATTTCATATATTTAAATAACCCTTGAAAAAATGTACTAAAATAATTAGAAAATGGTTGGAGAAATAAAACCATTTCTTAAGTATTTTTAAGCCTTTTTTTTTTTTTATATATTTTTATCATAAAAAAATCCTTAACCTTAACAGAGAATCGTTGCCAAAACGTGCTTAAAGAGCAAAAAGTAAACTATATTTTTTCTTTTTAACATCAGACGAAAGAAATAAATTGCCTTATAAATTCAATGATAAGGAGAACTCTTTAAAGCGCAATTTTAATGACTTTAGGACAAAGAGAATATTGTCATGAAGAAGGCTTTAATTGGACCTTAAATTTGCAAAAAAGAAAAAAGACGATAGTGAGCCGCGTTCTTTTCTATGCATTTTGCGTTATGTCTTATATTAAAACGAATATCGGGGAATTTTCTTATGACTATTTCTTCGGAATACCAAAATTGATGTGAAATCAAAATAACTATATGGTCTCCCAAAAATTGCGTTTTTACGTGTTTTTCATTTAATTGAAATTTTGAATGCATTTTGCGAAACCCATTGTAACAAGAAGACACATAATTTTCTTTTATGACTAACGACCGATCACCGAATATGCCGCTATATCTAATAAAAATGCAAAATGAGTATCATATTCGCTTTAAATGTTTACCTACTTTGGATTAGCTTTTAAACAACTTTATTAAAAAAAAAAAATGCGCCATTTGCGAAAAACCTTGATAATTATTGATATCAATATTTAGGATATCATTAAACAAAAAAAAAAAACAAAAACATTCCGTTTATTGTAGCCTACATCAATATTGTGTGTAAAGGTTGTACAGAACATCCAGAAAGAACTTGCGATAGATCCACCTTTTATTAAACCTAAGCATGTCTGTGTATGTGTGTCTCGTTGTGTCTCTTGTATTCAACTTACAAATCCCAATTTTTGGTTCATCAAAATATTTTAGCCCAAGAACGAATGAATGCTATTGAAAATGGTTCGCATCAGACCGTTTTCGACTACTGCTTATATAAAGATTTATTTCGAGAAGCCATTATATGACTAACTGGGCTAAACGAAATGGTTTGGCATATTTAATGATAGGCTATGTCTCATTGTAGTGGTTTTACTGGTTAGTACTAGGTTTTGTTTAGTGATTCTCGCTTTTCTGTCCATAGGTCCGTCCATCCGATCTTCAATGCACTGTTAACGCACTTTCCAGCTTTCGCTTAATGTAAATTCAATTTACGGGCGTGCACGAAAACGATTGCGAACGATATTTATTGCATCTTACCCGCGTAATTATCCATAAATCGAATTAATGAAAATATTTATTAAATCTAGCTTTGGATAATCAAAAAAAAAAAAAAAAATTGTATTTATTCTTTAGTTTATAGATCAATATAGGACGTCTATATATATATAGATAGGAAGAAGCAAGTCTAAACAGTTATGTTTACCTCACTTCCATCTTTGTACAGATGTTCAGGAGCAAATGTGAAAATCAAACCGAAAGTAAGCAAAGTGGATGCCAGAGATGCTCTGAGGAAAGAAAAAAAACAACGAGTTGATGGTGCCCAACAATGTTATTAGAGTTTCTACTATTCTGAGGTCAAACTAAGCTAAAAAGCTAGCTAGCTGCTGCTAGAGAGAGGCAAAGGAAGCCAAAGTCATTCGGTCTTAAATGCATTGGTGCGGTTTCTTTATGAAAATGTTATAATTATTAGAAAAATTCGGTCTTCTTCCTATTCTCTAAAAGTTATCTCATGTTTACTTTTATTTAATAGAACGTGAAGTTTCAGAATTCCGAGGCTTTACACTCTTTCAGTATTTTTTAGAAGAATTCTTTAATTTCAAATGCATAAAAGTTTATCACGTTACTGTTTCGAAATCAAATAAATATTTGTTTGCAGTTACCAGCGGCAGTTAAAGAACCGGAAATTTTCTTCTTCTTTCTCCCCTCTCTTTAATTACTTATTGTCCATTGTGAGTAACCCTCTATTTTGAACACAATAGGAAATAGGAATACTTGTGTTTCTCTTTACACCCTGATAGGCTTACAAGCTAATCTTATAGATTTGAAAAGTTTCTGGAATATTTTTTTTTTTTTTTTTTGAAGACCGGAAGAAAATTTCATAAATTTAAGCATAAGTTTAATAAAACCTTTTGTTGATGCTATTGATGTGGGATGTTGATGTTGATGTTGATGTTGATGAAAACACAAGTATCACATGTCATGCATACATTTATAGCAAATGCACTCTTCTGAATTTGTATATTTTCATAAATATTTTCAATAAAGCTTAAATTCCAGACACATTTATAATCCTTGATCTTCCATCATTCACAATGTATGCACATACATAGCTATATGTAATGCATATAGCTCACGTATATGTTAAGCTCGGTAACAAAAAAAAAAAGGAATCCTTTTGACTTGACAAGAGGAGAAAACTGACACGTGTCAGTGTCATTGTCAATACTCATCAGCGTTCCAAAGAGGAAAAAATAAATAAATAAAAATATCAGTCAATCAGGCAAAAAATAAAAATATAAATAAATAAATATTACGTACACAAATGCTTATATACATGCTTTTGTGGATCACTTTACTTTCTCTTTTTACATTATAAAGCTATATACAAATACTTATACATGTACATATATATGCATTATATATATGAACTTTTGATTTCATTGTGATGTCAGTTTAAAAATTAAATCATATTCCCAGTCACAAGAACACTACGTTCCCTTTTCATGCGTTTTCTCCGCTTTGTTATTCATATAACACAGAAGATGATGATGGCGTCGAGGTGGTATGCATAGAAAGTGTATTTTGTTATTCATAATCAGTTCACTGAAGCATAAATCAAGTGTTTTCCTTTTTTTTTTTCTTCTTCTTTTTTCAACACAATTTAATCATTTATTTCAATTGAAAAATTTTTCACTTGTTGGCAAAATTTGAAAAAGCCTTCAGTATTTGAAAACGTCTTTGCTCTTCTTTGAGTTTTTCAAATACATGCGTACAAAGTTTTTCTAACAATTCTATCTTTACACTTAATCTGTTAATTTCCTTGAAATTTATTTAAAGAATTTTCATTAGCACAAAGCCTTCTGCAATGTAATACATAAAGGTAGAATCAATTTCCTTTTGCATTGTAAAGAAGGATAGCAAAAAGGCACAATAAGGAAGAGGTTCGGGGCGTTTGTCGTGAATGCCACTTTAAACGATAACCTCTCACTGCTTTTCCAATAAGACCAGGCGCTTATCGCTGTTGTAAAACTGCCAGGATTTGTAAAAGAAAAACTATAGCGAGTCTCTATACAGGTCTCTATTGAAATCAGCTCAA